TAATAAATGTACGTTGTCAGCTTGTGACAGTTATATAAACAAGTATTACTGTAACTAAATTTAAAAATAAAATCCCCCAAGTATATGTTTGCAGATAATTTTCATACGGATAGAGGACGTGACAATGGGACAAAAGATGAAAGAGGAAAATGAACAAAAAAAAACCCTCTGTACGTCCCGAGAAAGAGTGAAAAGAGGGACAGAAGAACATCGCCATTCATCCATTGTTTCGCACATTTGTACAAACTTGATAAAAAAAAAAACACAACAATTCCACATATCCAACAAATTCATTCATTCTTTCCGCGTATTTCCGAAAAGCATTATTACAAATAAATTGTTCAATTTGATTATACAGGTAAAAACATAACATTTATTCGAACGATAATATTCATAAAACAAAATGTTTAATTTCCATTAAATTGCATATGAATATCGCTTGGGGCTTACTTGAGAAACTTGAATTTATGTGAAATGTTTTCATTTTTCTTTTTTTCAATTATATAAAAATCATTCATATCAAATAACATATAAAACGTAATTTACGTTGTTTAATTTTTAACTTATATTAATATTTCATACGTAAATGAAATGAATAAACTCATAACTGGAGATAATTGTGTTTATGAGGTAACAAATCCGTGCGAATCTGCAGAATAAAGAAGCTGTAAAAATTCGACTTAACTATTTATGGGACCCAGAAGGCGGTCTAAAAGTAATAGTTTTTTTTTTAAAGTACCCAATAGGGATTTCATCATTTTGGAAGTAATATTATTTGGAGGATCCTCAACTAATAAATTTGGGGCCCACAACTCGAGGGCCCCATACAAACATTGTTTAAGGTACCTCGACTGACACTGCGGGGCTTCAATTAACTCAAATTAACTATAGAAAGGGGCCATGGGCTGCAATCCATAAATCCGCCTCTGCTAATGCTACTGTTGTTGCTAATTATTGCTTTGTTAATCATTTAGGTGATTCAAGTGCTTCTAATGGCTTACTCCTATTTATAATTGGAGTGAATTCCGGTAGGTCAAAAATGTATGAAAAAGAAATGGGATGATCCGGGTGTATTGGAGCGGAATTCATAATAAATGAGCTGTCGTCCTTTCTATTCGTACATTTGCGTTTCTGTTTATTTCGAATGATGGTTTGTGGGATTCATTATCTATTGATGGAACATTTATTTGCGTGGGCTTCAATCTGATTTCGTAATATCTACATATATTTTCGACACGCAACTTTACTTCCTCTAGATCAGTGATTCCCAAAGTGGTCTGTATCAACCCCCCAGGGGTCTATGACAACCTGCAAGGGGTCTACGTCAGCGAAAAAAAATACAAATACTGATAGTACCTATTTACTTACATTATATTATCTTATAATATAAAGACATAGACATTATTTATAAAGGTATAAAATTGTGTAAGTTGTAGGATGTAGGATGTAGGCATTCGCTTTGTATCCGCAATATATTCTGAACTTGTAATAACCTGCACATAATGATATACCAGTATCATACGCGCAGTCTCAGAGCAAAGATCTTAATAATTATAAAGATGTCACAATATAAATAATAAATTTACAAAAAATCAATATCAGGTAAGTAGGGGGGGGTCTATTCTTATTCTGATTTTTGAAACTAGTTTTACGAATAAAAATTAATTTGATGTATTTATATTAATTTATGTTCTATTAATGTACATTCGTATATCAAAATATGTATTGTATTTCTGTGAGTACGTCATTGCAAAAAAATATTTTTAAATTGTACGTTCATCTACAGATGTAGATAAGCTACAAGAATGGCTTAAAAAATGGAGAATAGACGTTAACGAAATGAAATCCGTGCATATCACATTGACGCTAAAGAAAGACACCTGCCTAAAGCAACAAAAGTCAAATATCTAGGCATGGATCTCACTTGGAAAGATCACTGGCTTCTAGGGAATAAGTCGGAATTATCATTGGAAAACAAATTACTTATATACAAAGTAATACTGAAACCAGTATGGACGTATGGTATCCAATTGTGGGGTGCGGCCAGTAAAATGAACATAAAAATTATAGGTCCCAAGGTTTGTCAGGAATAAACAAATACACGAAGATCTACATATAGATATGGTCAAGGATACAATAGCAACATTTTGTAGCAGATACCAAGATAAGCTGGAGTCAAATACAAATGTTATGGCTATTGGCCTACTCGACAACAGTGAAACCGCAAATAGGCTGAAACGTTGCAAACCACTAGATTTAGTATATATATTTAAGTAATTATTAATGTTCAAATCATCATAATGGTAATCTATCCACCGGGAAAGATTATCCAATTAATGTCAACCGCGATCATAAATTTACTCAATGTTCACATTGATGAACAGATTGTGAATAAAATTATACGACATAAAACAAAATTGTACGTTCATGTGAATGTACTCTTAGTTAATTATCTTAATTATTCTTGGCAATAAACTAGCACGTATATAACAAAAAATTGAAATGCTATAATTTAGATGGAAATTCACTATCCAATAAACGTACATTTGTATAATATTACTAAGTATATTTAATGAGCTTCATAATTATTTTCAAATTGTTTGCTGCTATGAATTAATAGTACGTTCGTGCGAAAAAAAAACTAACACGTATTTGACAAATAAATGTATAATTTATATGGAAGTTCATCATCCAATTGACGTAAAATATTTTGAGTACATAAGAGCACTAAATGTATTCAATGTGCACTACAATTATTTTCAAAGTGTACGTTCGTGTGAATTAATCCTATAATGCCAAACAACGTTATGAAATAAAAACCAGCAGAGTCTAACAAATATATGATCACTATGGTAACAAAGTGAAAACAAAAAGAAAAGAAAATTGGGGTGTCATGTGTTTCGTGCGTTTAATATCCTCCGCACTGAATCATCGTAACACCATATGGAGGACGTCCATGTGTCATCGAATTACGTAACATCCCTCAAATACAGCGATACACGCACCGCAGACCTCCAATTAGGCTCGCATTAGGTAGTATTAGATAATTTCTTAATCGAGGTAATCTCCAAGAGAGATCGCTGAACAGCTGCAACGTTAATCCTTCGTCCTCGATTTCCTCTTTTTCTTCAAATTGTATTACGTAGATCCAAAGTAGGATTAACATTAAACCTTTACAGATAATACTAATTACGTCATCTTACGAAGAACAAATGAATTGTTCACGAATTTAAAAAATACAGTAGTTTTGACTGTAGATTTAATTACATTTTTTTAAAAATATTCCTACGCACATATTTTTTATTTAGAAACGGTATATTCATATTCACCCTTCGATAAATAATAATCAAGTACGCACCGATGAAAAATAACGCGAAAATTCGGATCCATCGCAGCGGAATGCTTTTATGAATATTAACAAATTTATTCATATATTATTTTCGCATTTAATGATTTGATGGTGGCGGAATGGGGGAAAATAGCAAAAAATTGTACGAGAGAGAGAGGGAGATGGAATCAACGAGCGGACGATATTTGCATAACTATTTTATTGGACGCGGCGGGATTATGTAATCGCTCTTGGCAACCGAAATCTAGGTCTCCTGCCAAATGTTGAAACGAATTGCAAAAATAGGCCAGCCACTTATCTTATAGTATAAGTATAAAAAAAAGTGTCTGTTAAAATCTCATGCCGATTAATTTTTATGTCATTGTTAACTCGATTTGGGTTAAGGTTAGGTTCTTTAGGTTAGGTTAGGTTTGTCAAATATTGATAGGTTATGTAGTGTATCATAGGTCAGTTTTGGTTATGTTAGGTTAGGTCTAATTAAGTTAGTCTGGAACTTCAGTAAACTTAACCCAAAATCAAATCAGTTAGAAGTTTCTTGGTGTTTATTTATTTTCATTTTAAATCAGAATTTTAAATTTAAGAAAGTACATTAACATGAAATAATATTTTCAGATTTGGTTGGTTTAAGATTATTATTAGATTCTTTAGTTTAGGTTAGGTTTGTCAAATATTGATAGGATATGTAGTACATAATAGATCAATTTTGGTTATGATAGGATAGGATATATTATAGGTTAAGTTAGGTTACGTCTAATTAGGTTAGTTTAGATCTTCTGTAAACTTCTCCTAACCTAGAATTGAATCTGGTAAAATTTTAACAAAAAAATGGATATAAGGGATTTTTTTTCAGGAAAAAGACTGAAAATTGAACAAATTTGAGGGGATAAGTATTCAGTTTTATTTTTTTATTTGAAAAAACTTGGTTATCAAATTAGATAATTTTCTTTACAAAAAAAAAACGCTTTTAAAAATCGTCAAGTAATATAGAAATACTAGTATACAATTAAATTTAAAGTAAAGAAGATCAAAATATTTGAATCAAGTTTAATCTAGTGATTGCAAAATGAGAAATTTAATTTTCGTATTATGTGTATTACATTCTAAGTTATTAAGTAAGTAGTGGAGAGATACGTACATAAACTAAGTAGAATATTTTTTATGTTTATTAAAAGCTTCATGTAATTAAGCACAGAATGATTGAAAGAAATTTTATAAAATATGCGTTGCAAAGGTGGGACGTCGGTCTTTGTGTCTGGTGCAGACAAAGCTCTCCCTAATTAATGATCTGAATAGCAGAGCAGATTAATTAGGGACGAACTTTGCATATTAATACGATGAAGTATTGCCTGATGAAGTCGAACGCAGAAACGATACGACAGGAAAATCTAACGTAACATAAAGAAAAGGATTAAATTCATGACCGGTATACAAAATAATGGTACACGAGAACACACAATGGGTATGAAAGATAAGCGAAATATAGGACACGATTTTTTTTTAAATATTTGTTTTTTTATTAATCCTTCGGTTTATTATTGTTCGGAACAAGGACGTAAACCGGGATTTTTCGTTGAGCCTTCCTGTGTGTTTTTTTTATTAAATAAATTCACTACATGCAGGACTCCAAATTAAGTTTTATCTGTGTTTTCAGGACGATGCAATCACGGCAGTCCCTGTATGCAGCTCTGCTATGATCTGCACGATGGGATGTACGAGTGCGGATGCAAAGCAGGATTCCTGCTGCACGACGATGGATACAGTTGTTATGGTAAGTAGCTTTCACATTGTTGTTGTTGTTTGAAATTTTGTTTTGTCCTTCCTTTTTTTGCGTACAATCATTTTAAGGACTATTAAATCCTCCCGCCCTCCACGGTCTTTGCAAGCAATTACGTGACTCCACTTCACGACACGAAATTTTAATTAACCTTTTGCTTTACGTAATTGTAATTATTTTGTCTTAGTTTCAACGTTAAACGAGACAAATTATATTAAGTCCTGTTTTAATAAATGTTATATTAAGAAAAATTACAATGAAAGAAAAAAATATAATAATTTAGTAATTCGAAACAATTCTTATTAAATGAAGTTTCTTGTATTTCTTAATATTTAAAAAAAAAATTATTATATTAACTCTAAGTCATTTGTCAAAGTCTACTATTTATTAAATCTTGAAAAAAAAAAATGGAATCAAAGAAAATATGAAAATTCTATAAATCTATTCAAAGATCTAAACATTTACTACAAAAGTTTAGATCTTTGAATAGATTTATTACAAAATTACATTTACTACAAAAGTTTAGATCTTTGAATAGATCATAAAATCAGTTTTAAAATTATTTTAAATTTTACTTTTTATTTTATTACAATATAGACAAAAAGTTTACTTCAAGCAATTATTTTTATATTATTAAACTTACAACAAACATTCGTTTATTATTTATATTAATTATTTTTTTAATCTACGCATTTCTTCAATAATCAACGAACTATAATATATTTGATAAAGTTGTAGTTTCAAAATCTATTATAAATTGTATACAATCACGAAAATTTAGTTTTGACAATCAATTAACTATAAGTTTTACATCTTTGCTTATTATAGGAAAACGGTAATAGTGTCAAATCTCATAATATTAAAGCCTGTACTTTTGGCTTTAATTAGAGTGTTTACAGTTAAATTTTGCATTTCTCGTTATGGAATATTACGCTAAAATGTGAGAACTATTTCTTTGAACTTTGAACAGTAATAGATTTAAATCATACAATATAAATACATGAATTTCTGTAGTTTCCCTTTAATTAAAGCATTAATTAGCATTGAATTTGGTTATCCAATAATATGATAGAACGTGGAGACATTACTTTTGAGCCTAAACAATGTTTTTCAAATTTGATAGTTAATCAACTTAAAAACGTTACTAGTTGCAAATCTATCAATATACGCATAATAAAGCTTGTACCTCTGACTTTAATTATTGTATTCATAATTGTGTTTCGCAATTACGATTATTTATAATATGATAAAACGTGAGGACACTATTTTTGGCATTAATTAAAATTCATAGTTGATTTTAGCATTTTTGGTTATGGAATAATACGATAAAACTTGAAGACACTACTTATTTAAGCCTTGAAAATATTTTTACAAAATTGACAGATTATTACAGTAAAGCAGTAATAGTGACAAGTCTCATAATATACCTATATTAAAGCTTGTACTTTAGGCTTTAATTATAGTATTCATAGTTAAGTATAGCATTTGTCATTTTCGATTAATAAGAAAAAATGTGAAGGCACTTCTTTTTAGAGACATTTAATTTGAAAGCTTATTACAGGAAAACAGTACTAGTGACAAATCTCATAATATACTTATATTAAAGCTTGTACTTTTAGCTTCAACTAGAGCATTCACGGTTAAGTATAGCGTTTGTCTTTGAACTATAAAAAAGCTATTTAATTTTTGGTACCTTATTACACAAACACAGTAATAGTTGTAAATCTTACAATATGCACGCATTAAGTTCTATATATTTCATTTTAATTCATAAGCATTAAATTTAGTATAATGTAATAATATTGAAATACATTTGGATGAGGCAACGGTGAATTACGCAACGAAAATGCTTCTAATTTAGAAATACTAATGAAACAAAAATGAAAACACTTATGTCATTAGGCGCGATAATTAATAAACAAGGCGTCTCTGCAATTAATTTGTTGTTGTTATTTTTTCAGTATTTTGGTTATTTCATTCGAGTCACGCAAATGTTAAAAAAAATAGAAGTCCTGACAGTAACAAATTCGTCCGGTAATTTGGGGTCTTCCTAATTCCGTTTATTTGACCAAAACCTGTCAAAGGCAAAACATAATTTATATCCTTTCTCACACACACACGTACATTCGACGATGTTCCAATATTTCAGTGTCATCCGCGTCTTCAATAAATCATACGATCTAATTTAATTAAATCGTCTTTCGCGAACCACGAAAAATGTAATAAATACATATTTCCAAATGAAATTCAATTTTCTAAATGAATATGTTTTTCTTTTATCAGATATTCATCATGAAAAATTGAAATAAATTAATCAATTTATAGTAAATTCAATGTTAAAAAGTAAAAAAGAAATCGTCAACTTTTTGATGTGCAATTATAAATTGATCTGTAGGAAATAATAGATACTCTTATTATACGATTAATTTGTACGGTGTTGTATGTAACTCGTGTTATAAGTGGATTTATACAAACTTCTTTTAACGAAATTAATTCAAACATCGTTATATGTAAAACGTGTTAGAAGAAACTGATTCAACACTCATATAACACGATTTATTAGTAGCGTGTTAGATGGAAACCGCGCTATGTGAATGCGGCGTTTTATTACGAATAGAATTAAGTTTAAATTATTCATTATTTTAATATTTTTTCAGCGAAAAATTCATTATTTCTCGCACATTATTAAATAAATCCATCCATCCATAGTGATTATGAAGGATACGCAATTTCGAAGTTAATTGCATTTAACTGATCGATGAACGTTGCATTTCATTAGATCCTTACAGTTCAAATTTAACATCCACTTAAAGTTATGACATGATTCACTTACAATTATTTTAAATTGAAAAGTAATTTTATTTAAGTTCATTTTCCTACCCAGTGTTTTTTAATACACATACACACTATTATTCACAGCAATTCAATTTTACAGATAATTATCTAATGTAATGTAATAGACTACTGCGATTAATAAAAATATCAATTTAAAGAAAAAAGATTTTTTTTCCATACTCATTTTTTGTAGCTTCGTTACTCGCGTGGCGTCTAAGAAACTATTTTACTAATCCATCAATTATGTAGTAATCAGTTAATATTTTATTAAATATAAGAAATATGAACTGTTTATCAACGATTTTACAAAATTTTTAAATTTTGTTTACATATAATTTAATATTTTAGAAACCAATGACTTTTATTTATATTTTTAATAAAATATGTTAATATTAAACTACGTTAGTCCTTTTACAATTCAACCTAATCCATGTTCTCATCCTTCCCCCTTAAACTTCTCGCAGAAATTCCCGGAATTTAATTACATCCTCACTTTCCTCCATACATTACACGATACGCATTATATAATTTTGCTCGTAGGCAAACTGCAGATCATATCGATTGATGTGTTTTGTTGCGTCTTTCGTAAACTTCTAAATGGAGCTTCGCAAGTAGAAAAAGAAGGAAAAGATAAAAAAAAAATAAAAATAAAATAATAGACATGAATGGAATATTGATTTCTTTTGTGCCCTCATCCGACCATCCGATACAGCTGCTCCGACGTTTCTTATAAAAGACCCATCAATCTTGTTCTACTCTTCAAGCCATTTACCAACTGCAATGAAGCACCTCAAACTTTTTTTTTTTTGATATTACTTATTAGTTTCTTTGTAGACAGCTATTCACAAAATTCTTTTAGTTTTAATATTTTGTTATACAACGGTACCTCGCATAGTGCTGTTATAGTACGGTTTGGAAAGAAAAGAAGATATTCTAGAAAAATAGTACACAAAATAATTTTTCATATATAAATTATCGTTTTTTATTCTGCACAAAGAGAAGTCTTAAAGTCCTCGATTAGTCCGGTTTCAAACTAAATTAATTAACCGCACTATACGAGATAGACAGTATACATTTAGTCTTATTTCAAGAAAAAATATTTAAAAGAAATACATTTTACTAATTTTATCTTCAAAGTGATGTAAAAAAGTGAAAATAAATTAGTTTCCCAGAATGGACCAATGGTTTAGTATTAGTTGTCTCATGTATAACTTAATAAAAATGTAAACTTTATGTACACACAATTCACTGTATCATCTTTACTTCATTTTTGTTCGTTTTTAACAGAGTCAAATAAGAAATAGTTATACCTCGCATAGTCTAGTTTCAAACACTATAATACGATTTGAAAAAAAATAACAAAGTAAAAAGAAATTCTAGAAAAATCGTAGACAAATTTAGTTTTCATACATACACTATCATTTTTCCAGCGCAAAATTAGACTTAGTCAATTAGTCCGGTTTCAAACTAAATCAATTACCCGCACAATGCGAGTCTTATTTAAAAATTATAAAGGGAATCAATGTTACTAATGATGTAAAAAAGTTAAAATAAATTTGTTTCCCAGGATGGACCAATGGTTTAGTATTAGTTATCTCATGTACAACTTGTAGTCTTTGTTTTTGTTCGTTAAATAATGAAAATGTATAAAATTTATTAAAAATTAATGATTTTAGTTTATAGATTGTTTCCAAATTAAGATATTGGCGCCGGTCCAAATTAGGCAACTTTCAACCGTATGAATTAGTTATTGTATACATTTACAGCTAATTTTAGTGTACTATATATTTGATTATATTTCTAGGCTTGAAAGATGTCAGAATAAAAAGCAGTTTAAATTTTTAAAAAGGTTTATTTTTTGATAAGAGAGCAAGATTTGCATACTACTTAAAAATAACTCGATCCGCTTTTAAATCCGATTTATTCAAGGATTAGCCTGTTCGCTCATTAAACTGATTATTCTGTAGCATTCACTAGATCCTGTCACACACACACACAAAAATGTTATTCCTAAAATTAACATTAACCAGCAATTAGAAAATGTTGTGACGTTTATATAATTGTTTGAGATTACCAAAAGAACAAAACCAAATTTAAAAAAAAAACTATTTAATGGAAAGAAGGGTGAATAATTGGCAGGCGTTTTGATAATGGCTTGG